ATAGTTCTTTCAAATATTCTGGCTAAAGAAAGATAATCACAAGCCATAGTTGTTTTTTAATATCCTTATTGATGCATTATAGTTGTATATAATAGTGGGATTTGTTGTTGCATATCCACACATGCACACAATATAACTGTAAATTTTGGTCAATATCACTCATCAGTATTTTCCTTTTCCCTCTCCTCCTCCCTCCCTGCAAGTTCCTGTCCTCTTCTCTACTGATCTATTTTCCATTTTCATGAGACCCCCTTCCCCCATCTTTCTTTTTCTTTTTCCTCTCTAATTTCCCTATATGAGAGAAAACATGAACTTGGCCTTCGGAGTTTGGTTTATTTATCTTAATAGTCTCAAGTTCCATCCATTTTTCTGCAAATGACATAATTTCATTTTTCTTTATGGCAAAAAAACTCCATTGTGTATATATACTACATATATCTATTCATCCATTGATGGACTGTTAGGCTGTTTCCATAGTTTGATTGTCGTGAATTGTGCTTCTATGAATATGGTTTTTAAAAGTTAATTTTTATATTGATAATTTAATTGAGTGGTGTGGAATTCTCTCAAAATGGCTAGAAAATGTATTACTGATAAGTGGGAGGGAATAGAGGAAATAGGAAAGTCCCAGAGACATCATCTTCAAGGTCATCTTTGGCAGTAAAAGCAGAGGCAGCAAACTTGGTGTATTTGATAATGAGAAAGCAGCTGTGGGTAGGTCACCTCTTAATCTCCAGTATCTGTCAACAGTAATGTTTACAATAGTTGTTGAAGAAATATAAGAAAGAAAGAAGAAAGGAAAGAAGACTAGGAATGAGAAAGAGCAGGAGAAAAAAGAACCAGCAAAGGAATCCTTTCTTCGGTTTTCCTCTTCCATTCTTATTACAGTTGTGCATTATTTCTCATAATGGTCCCCCAGAACTCTGTTAACCTAATAATAGTTTTTTTAAATATTTATTTTTTAGTTATAGGTGGACTATAAGTGGTGCTGAGGATCTAACCCAGTGCCTCACGCATGCTAGGCGAGCACTCTACCACTGAGCCACAATTTCTGCCCTTCTGAGCCACAATCTCAGCCCCATAATAGTTTAATTTTCTAAAAAAAACTTACAAACATAAATATCATTAGTCTTGTTTTGCAATGCAAAAACTAGACTCAAAAAATTATTAACTTTCTTCACTTTTCTTAGATATCACTAATCCAGTGCCCAACATGCTTACTCTTTGCCCATCAGTAAAGAGATTTGATGAGTGGAATCAATCTCCTGGCCATATAATCACTTAACCAATTTTTATTGGTTATTGCTGCTGTTCTTTGCAGCAGGGACAATGGATTTACATTTTAAGAAATGAGTGCTGAAAAATATATAACTTATGTGAAGACATTTAACTAATGTTAATTCAAACTAGAACAAACTAAATATTATACAGCAGTAGATATGTTATTTCAAGTGTGCAAGTTGAGAATAGATGCTTTTTTAACCATTAGATAATTGCTTGAGCACAGAATTGTAATAGATTAATTCTGTTATTGTAAGTTAGATACATTATCTATTCTCAAGAAGGTTGCTGAATAAGAAGTTTCCACAACACATTTCTCCTTTCTCCTGCAGATTTGCTAGTTTGTACAGGAAAGACATAGTAAAATTATATACATTGTTTTCCATTTAAAAACTCAATAACTAAAAAAAACTTTTTTGATCATATCATCATTTCAAATAATGTTTTGAGACTTTCTGAAATGCATATTTAATTTTTTTCCATGTTTTCCCTGTTCTCAATCAGTCTATGAAAATAACTATATAAGCCAGCCAGATAAATCTTGCACTTCTCAAAAAAGGTGGTCATTAGTGAATTTTCTATTTCAAATTAAGATATCAGAAATCTATCTGGACAATCAATGGTACTGTCATTTATATGTTTGTTCATTAAAAAATATTTGTACATTTAGAACCTCCACATATAAAACATGAAGTTTTAAAAGTTATAAAATATAGAGCAAATTATTCCCATCATTATCTTACATTTGTCTTTATTACTAACTAGCTCTCTTCGTACATTTATGATATAAAAATTACTGCTCCATTTTGGAGATATATTTTCTTCATTAAGTTCATTATAGACAGGCAGTTTTCCCCCAAGTTGACTCATCTAAGTTATGACTTAATTAAAATGAAATGAAAGCTTACAAATTTGCAGTTTGAAGTATGTTTAATTTCTTAAATGATTATATTTCAAATATACTGGCATTTATTTTAAAACCATTGCTTTGTATCTGATCTACACACCTTTTACAATGCATTTATCATTCTATAAAAAATAAAGAAAGAAGAATTTTAAGCCTCTGAAGTTCTCAACCACTGTTAAACAAGGATTTTGAAAGAAAAAAAAAAGATGGAATTGATTGCATTTCTCCAACTCATTTAGGAAGAATACTACTTAAACTTGTTCCTAATGCAAGGTTGAAATTAATCTTGATTTCCCATCAAATGTATAGGGATTTTATATTACAGTGCATAATAGTATGTAATTCCTCTTGGGTATAAGTTAAGATAAACAAGTCACTGACAGTGTTTATCTATAAATATAGCAGATGGTGTGGGACTGAGGTTGGTAATCAACTCTGCTGACTTTAATTTCATGGTTATAAAACACTGTAAACCTCACTATTTATGAAAGGTAGGCAAGAATCTCCAATGGGCTTCAGTAGCCAAGAAACCCTCAGCAATATTAATCTCTCTAACTGATATTTGGTATCCTCCCAGGGTGTAATATTTAAGATTGTGGGGCGATTGCTAGACACATTCAGATTTTCACTGGGATCATTAGCTAGCATTTCTGTCATTGATCTATTATGACTTTGTTAATGAGTTCCATGTGAGTGAAATTTAGTGAGTGAGACAATTCTTCCTAATCTTTGCTAGGTGAATGGTTAACAGTTACTTTAAGAAGTTATATATCTAAACAATGGCCTAATTTGTCAAAAAGAATGCTTTTTTTCTGACGTTAAGGTAAGTCAAATTATGATACTATTCAGACCAAATGTACTTAGGGATAGAATTTCATAAACATCAGAATATTGTTTAAATAGTCAATATATTTTATATATACATATATATCTACATATATGCCATGTATCTGCCTAAAACTTTACAAAAATCATATAATTTATAAAGAAATCAAAGTATTTATTCATCATATTTTCAATTGATATAAATATAATATTTTAAATATATTTTATTCTAATCATTCATTTCACTAAAAATCTATATGTTCAACTTAATTAAATTCTTACAAAAAAGAACATTATTATAAAAAATATTATTTGAATTGCTCAGTTTTTCCATTCCAACCTTATAGTGAATAACAGAATTTGTCTTGTAAACATGGGTGTATTAAAAAAAATCTAAAATCATACCCCTAATACATCTATATTTTGAAAAGTTTGATTTTTCAGTTTTCAAGAAATTTTGTAAGTATGATGAGCTAATGTGCAACTTGAAGCCTAAAAATTTTTGAGCTGCACATTTTTTAATTGTATCAAAATTTTAAATCCAAAGCCTGTGTGTGTGTGTATGTGTGTGTGTATATATATATATACACAGAGAGAGAGAGAGAGAGAGAGAGAGAGAGAGAGAGAGAGCGAGCCTGCTGAGCTACCTCTGCAGCCCAAGAATGAGCTTTCTAAGAACCAATCAGTGCTTTTCTAGTTCTTGTATTGCTTCTCCCCCACCCACTCTGGAAATTTTATACTGAAATTCCAACCTATCTGTTAACTGATTATTCCTAACATAGAGCTCAACCTCTGAGTTTCATGGGATTCTGAACAGCAGCAGTCAAGGGGAGAGAGAATTGGGTGGAAACTTTAATCATATTTTTTCTCATCTCTGTCGCTACTCAGAACCTTTGTCACTAGTTTTCATTGGATGTAAGACCTCACTATTTAACTCATTTCTGTAAACAACTGTCTACTCCTATTTCCAGGTCCTATATAACGTCTTGAACAGAGAACATCAAAACCTCTCTAAATTGGAGGTTTCCCCTCACTATCCTTTCCTTTTCTTTCTATTCTCTTTTTTCTTCCTAAATGCCTCCAATTGAACTGAATTATCATCATTGAAGAAATTGATTATTAGGCTATTGGTTATATTCTATATTTGTATGTGTGTTGTGTTGAGTCAAAAGTTCGGGTGATTTTTTTTTAAGTGACCAAAAAAAAAAACCCAGCTAAAATATATCCATTCATTTTTAAGATGATATATTCTTGTCTTTAAAGAGAAAATAATAAGAAAAAGAACATATCCCACAGAGAATGATTTCTTTTTAAAACCTGGCTCCTACGAAGCATGCTCTCTAGAGTTGTAAGCTTACTAGAAAACAGTGGGGGCATATTTCACAGGTACTAGGAAAAGGCCCTAAGAAGACTGGGGCCTCAGAGTGACTTAAAGTATCCTCTCAGGGTGTCTCAACAGTGGACTGAAGGTCTCACAGGCCAGAGTGGGGTGTAGTGTAAGCCTGGGTCAAAGGGAGACAGAACATCATAGACAAACAAAGCCAGGTATTATAGTGTCTGAGCAGAGGAGCAAGTGGACATTTAGTTTAAGGACTCTCCTTTATGGGTACTCATTTGTGGATCTTAGGGAAATAAGACATTCTTAAAAGCACATTAAAACAATCACTCTTATAAAGAAGAAATCTTTCTCATTATCCCAATGGATAGCATTAAGTTATTGTCTTGGGTACAATGAGTAATAAAATATAATCATTTTTAAACTAATCTTGTTTTGAAGAAGTTTCTATAAAGAAATTATCTGACTAAAAGGAGGAGGAAACAAACTTAAAAGTTAAGATGTTCCTGATTACATGCAAATAATCAAATTTATTAAAATTCATTGAAATAAATTGTTGCCTTTTAATTTTAATATTAAGCAAATTACAATCAAGGGGACAAATACACCATATTTAAAAACTTGAATCTCATTTTTGTCATTTTCTTTCAGATTACCCAATGCTGTCTAATTTCAAGGGCATTGCATTGTATAAAAGAAAACATGCCAAGGAAATTACTCTAACTGGATTTCATTCCTCCTTCAATGGTCAGTTTAAAAAAATATGTCCCCTATAATACTTTATTATTTATCCCCTGTAAAACTCCAGTGATCTTTAAAGTCTTTTATTCCTAGGGCAAGTCATCTATGCTGTGATGTGCATGACAGTCACCTGTGGAATCCTTCTCTTGGTTATGCTCAAGTTGAGGTAACTGAACATAACTCAGAAGGGAAGGGCTGGAGGGAATCATTTAGCACATTTCACAATGGATGAGCTTACGCAGGCCCTGAGAATGAAAGCTTCTCCGTTAAGACATGCTAAATCAACTTTTATGTGGGATAGGTCCATGGAAACATTACTCATGTTCTTCAAATGTAAGGGAAATGTGATCATTGGGGATTTTCTTACGCTGCATTTTACAAGCACATATGCATTGCATGTTGCTTCCAATTAAACTGTTATCAGTATTTCCTCTTGGTTTTTGTGCAAAATACAAATGAAATTTTGTTATATTTTTATTCAAATTATATGTAGAATTGGTGAACTCAAATAACTAACCTATTGTATATCTCAAAATGTTTTTATTTACCTAAGATGATGAGGCCTCACAGTATACCCATAGAAAGACATAGTCATTACCTAACATTAATTGATTCTTTCAAAATCATTTTCCTTGAGAAAATTCATGACTAGAGTATTGTAATGCTCCATCAAGTATGTGAGACTTTTAAGACTAGAGACTCAATCAAACTCTAGACTTCTGAATTTAGGGGATTTAAAACATTTAACTTATTTATTTTTGCAAATAGATACAAGATGATATGCACTAGTTTACCTTCCATTAAAATATAACTTCATATTTAAATATCAATCATTTTCATTTGCTTTTACTTTATGCATGTGTATATGTATAATTTGAGTATCATAAATGTTAATGAAACTGAGAGTGCATTTACATACATCTGTAAATATACTTACATACACATAAACTATATCAGTAAGATTGGGCATAGACAGGAAACAAACTATTGGCTATTTCTCTTATATCTTGACATCTGACATCCACACAGACTGGCTCAGTCACTTGCACAATGCACATACACATATTGCTCCTCAGAAACAACCTGAGAAATCCCAGATGAACAGGCCTTGACAACCAGGAAAAGACAAGGGAAGACAGAAGTGGGGGAGTGTGTAACAATAGCAGAGGGTGAAGTACAGAAGAGTATATGTTCTGCTCAAAGACATTTCAATTTATTTATTTTTAAATGCAATGCAGCTAAAGAAAGTATATCTACTTATTGGATTAAATCCTGCTAAGTGTTTAATATGTTGTTTACCAAAAGCAGTACCAAATAATCTGCTTTTTTCCAATACCTTAAAAGTTTTATTTCTATGAGAAGCTATTACATGGGTTCTAACATACAGTTTAAAGGCCAAGTAATTACGGCCTATTTCTAAGGGAGAAAAGTACCATTTGGAATTTATTACACTTTATTTGGTTTGAAATATTTGAGAGCATTGCTCAGCTACTCTACTTGCTTAGACATTCAATGACAAATCTATTGTTTGAGAGAAACAGTTTTCTGTCCCAACAAAACTCCTGTGTTAAGGGTCACATACATAATGTAAAAAGTTCACCCTAGCCACAAGGGCCTGTGAGTTTTTACTGATAATATTGTACCACAGATAAATCATATGTAAGCTATACATAATTCCCAATGAATCACCTGTGACTTCACTTCTTTATCTGCCTGCATAGGAAGGCCTATCCCTGGCAGGTCCAATGGTACATACTTGTAATCCCAAAGATTTGAAAGATTGAGGCAAGAAGATCACAAGTTTGAGGCTGATTTGGGCAGCTTAGTGAGACTCTGTCTCAAAGTCAAATGAAAAAGAGACTTGGGATGTAGCTCAGTGGTATAAACAGGAGGGAAAAAAATTAAAACAAGAGAGAGAAGAATAAGAAAAAAACGACAATATGGATACTACAGTTAAATATATGATAGTCAGAAACACATTAGAATATTTTGTAACTAGGACTTTACATTTGGAAACTTATTTTTCCCCATTTTAGGCACAGACTTCAACCAAAACAAGTATATTTGTAAAATACTCATACTAGCATACTATTAACTTTTGCTTTTGCTTTTACATAGACTGTCCAGAATATCAAGTCAAACAAGAGATTCTCCACCAATCCAAATACCTGGAGGAGTCATCATTCATTGAGTCACAGATCATTAACAGCCACTTTCTTTAAAGCAAGTCTCTGTAGCCAGTCAATGGAATGCTACAACCATCATTATGATGAATATAAGTGCACATAAAATTAACTAACTACATTAAAATATGAGATTATAGTTAACAGGTTGTTTTATCTGATCAGTTTTATTGGTTTCTATTAGCTTGACAAAATGGAAATGTTAATAAGAATACCCAACACATCTGTGAGCTACATAGTCTTACCTATTTTCAAATCATTACCTAGATCATTAGCATTAACTTTAATTGCCTAAATATGTTTGGTTAGATAAGGAGTCTTAAAAGTTAAAATGATATCTTTTTGTTATTTGAATATTTGTGAATTTTACTTTTTTAAATTTGATGTCTTTATAGCCATAAAAATGTAAAACAACTACATTAGATGACAAAAGTCAATGTGTATTTCAATAATGATGTATTTTGACTGTGAATTTATTTTTCACGTTAACTTTTATGAACTTCTGCAATAATAAAGTAATACTTTAATTTCTACTTTCTGTATTGCTTCTATACTGCTACTTTTGACTTGGTTTAACATCAGGATATAATTGTGACCAGTAAATTATGGAAAAGATGTTTATTAGTTCAATTTTCGATACATATGTGTACTTCAACTGTCTGAAATCATATCAGTACCCCTCATCCAGAATACCAGTGAAATTGTATTATTTACAGTGGCAAAAAGGAAAAAAAGTATTTAATAACCTGAAGATACTACCATACTAATATTAGAGACATATTTACAATTAAAAGTCAAATATTTTCTGCTTATTTGATCTCAATTCTATTAATATTCCCTACATTCCAGATTAAATTAAATTTAAACTTAATATTTGGCCCTGAATATTCAAAGTAATTGAAAACCTTTTACCCTTAAAACAGAGAAGAAAAATTTGGTGAGTCACAGATGCCCCCCAAGGACTTCTATACATTACAGTGGGTGCATGTTGCATAGAGAGTTAATGTGATGAGAATGTAACAATTTTCATCTCTAAAATACTGCTATTTAGTTTAGACTTGCTAATGTCTGGGAAAGTGTGAATTTTCTCTGGAAAATAGAGGAAAGAAGTCAAGTTGTCTTAAGAAATACTTTGTGTTGAGTTGTGAAGGCCAGGGCTGAGTGTGAAATAGAGGACTTCCCCCCAAAAAGAGAGTCTTGTCTCTTTGGCCAACAAGAATAAGAGGGTAGAACTACAGAAGGAAGAGTCAGCATGGAGCATTTAGGGAGCTTAAATAGTCCCCTGTCTTCAGAGCAGGGGATACAAATTAACATAATGCAGGACATAAAACTTTTTTCATCCATCAGGACTGAAACACAAAGGGTCCTTAAACACCAAGATAAAGAGTCACCACAGCTAAAGTGTGGCTGGTGGCTCTTTCAGGACTTGGCCCCCATTTTTACTCTCACCATCTACTCATCTGCCCTCTGGGAAGCCTTTCTTAACAGGCACTTCTCTGCATCTGCTAGGCATCCTTGCTGGTTCTTCTGCACCATGTGCTCCCCATTCCTAGGCTCCCACACCTCCCTGTAATTGCTTCTTCATTCCATTCATTAGCCTCCTATCACTGCTAACTTTTTTCTTTATATCACTCTATCACTTCGGCCTCGTCATTTCTTTGTGGCATTTATCACTTTCAGAAATGACCTTGTTTACTTTATTTTTCAAATCTGCAACATATTTGTTAATAACTGTACCACCAGTACTTAATATCCTGGCTAAGACATAATATATTATTAATAGCACATAGTATATTTATATAGTATATGTTCAACCTGTAAGTGTTGAGCAAATTAATTAATTCAGGCTTTCAAGACTTTTTAGCTAAACATTGGAGTACATTTTAAGCAGACCTACTCTGTATACAATTATTTATATTTTTTGCTAGTAAACTTTTTTTCATTAAGAAATCTGATAAACTCACTGTCTTATATAAAACGATTTTATACCATTTCGTAGCCTTCTAAGTGAAGCAATTCATTTACTAACAATTACTTATTGGCCATACACTATGTGTTAAGGAATAGAAAGCAGAGATGAACCAATAGATCCAGGTAACTGCTCAGAATTTACTGAGAAAGGCAACAATGAAGAATATTTCATACACTGAATAGATGGGGACTTGAAATCAGATCTTTGCAAGGAGTTGAGGTTGTAAGGATCATGTTAAGAAATTCCATTAAGAGTAGATTTTGCTGGGTGTCTTTAGGTAAACCATGGTGTCATTTAGAGAACTGGTTCATTTAGGTAGGGATAAGATTGGAATGGAAAATGGCAGTATGCCAGTTATTTTTAGATCTGTTCCCATCCTTCTCTACCTCTTAAATATCTTCAGGACTTATATACAATACATAATTGTTTTTGATCCACAACTTCCAGTTGGATTCAGCCAATGGTAGAAATGGAAGATAGGAAAGTGTTTCTGTGGATACCTCCTTCGGGTCTCATTCTGGGTTATTTTTTTTCCTTTAACTGTTTCCATTAGTGTGGCCTTTTCTACATCTCCTTCTGGATTTCTGTACAAGTTTTCTCTCCTTTTCCTTTCAGACTTGGTGGTACTAATAGCTCAGTTGTTACTAGTACTAGATGGTGTAGTTTCTGTACTACGCATTTTGGTTTTCTACAACCACACACATCTGTAGAAAGATTCTGTAAATCAAACATTCCTAAGAGTCATACACTTTAGATAAATGGGAGTTGGACCTAATTTGACAATGCCATCTATTTCTATTTATTCTCTGACTGATAATGCTGGTAATTATATCAGGTTTGGACCAATTAATTTTCTAACACCAGAAGGACATCCATGTGGAGTTACCTAGTAGTCAACTTGAAACTATGCTGAGACTTGAATTAGAGCCTTTCAATTTCAAGTTTTCTGATGTCTTCCTTACATCTCGCTCATTCCAGATGAGAAAGCCAATTTACACCAAAGACTTGCTTGTGATCTTTTGAAAAACCATTGTGAGGAATGGTGGCCAGATCACCAGATGGCAGACATAAAGACCTCTCCCTAAAAGAATTTGGTCATTGATCAAATTCCTTTCTGGGTTGTCTGAATATTCTAGTAATAAACTTTTGTACCTCCTGTTTCTTTTGCATATTTACCCAGAGCCTGATTTTTCCCACAGAATTCCTTCCATAAACTTCCTCAGGCATTCCTGAGAGCTGGGAGTCAACAGAACAGCACCAGCTGAAACTCAGGGAGCTGAATCAGAATCCTCTCTCAGGAAGGATGTAAGGGCAGAAGGAAAACAGGAACTCATACCTGGGGCTCACTTCTGTTCCTACTTTTGAATTCCCTATGAGATTCCTGAGAAACAGATTTGGGAGTTATTAAAACATGTATCCTATTCATCGTTATAGACAGTGAAATGAACACAAATAAAGAGCAAGTAGATTTCCTCTATTTTTAAGAATACTCACAATGGTGAGCTCAACAAATCCAAGAATAAGATCTAAGGGACCAGCAGTCAAAACAATGGCATGGCCCCATAGCACAAGATTAGCATGCATCCTCGGTGCACTGACACTGCTATTTTTGCACATCCTTGCCTGCCAGGTTTGCTCCTCCACACTTTGCTGTCTTCAGAGCTTTGAGATGAATACCATCTGGGCTAAAATGATTTATTGTACTAGAGTTTCTCAAGTTGTTCCTCTTTGAGGCTTCAGTGTCTACTCAGACCACACTGACTGCACCCTGAAACTTCAGGCAGTAAAATGAGGGTCTCCAAAGCATTCACAGAGAAATCACTTACAAGAAGTGTATCTTTAATCAGAAGTCATACTATTTACAGTTGTTTATAGTCTTCTATAAAAAGGAGAAAATGTGTGTTTAAAACAAAGAGGTCGAAAGTTCTAGCTAGGTAAGATTGTCAGATTTAAATATGATAGCAAAGTCAGGAAACTTCATAATGTCATGGAATTTTTCCATCCAGTGTATATTATTATGTTAAAAGGCTTGTGAAGTATAATATATAACTATTTTGAGTGTAATGGATTATTTGATATTTGCATCTATAAGAGAAGAGACATAATTTGATAAAATATTTTCTAAATATTTTATGAAAATATATTTTTGTAAAGACAATTATGAAGTATAATTTATGTCAGAAAATTCTGATGAAATCTTGAATATTATAATGATAATTCTGTGTTGAATTTCACTGATAAAATTTTTTATAAATATTTTGTCTATCTAAAAACATAACTATAAATAGAAAACATTCATCTTTCAAGTAAAGTCTTCAGTTGTAAGGTGGAAAAGCTTTTGTATATGTATATAGTACTAATTAAGCACAATTTTTGATTCACAGTTTAATATACTTTGACATAAAATTACATGTTATTTTCTATGAGAAGACACTCTTAAAAGGAGTTATGAAGATATATTTCCTTGATTATGAAGTTTCTGTATGTTACTTTCCATAAAATAATAGTATACAACTGAAACAATCTATATGTATTTAAGTGGAAAGAATTCAAAACAGAATTATCATTATAATACTTCAAGATTTCATTGGAATTTTCTGACATGAGTCATTTTCCATAACTGTCTTTAAAATATATTTTTCTAATATCAATATATTTATATTTTCAATGAATGTTTTATTGTGTTTGTTACATCCTTTTAATACTTTGAAACAAAGGAATTCTTTTCAAAAGTTCTTATTTCATGAATATTGAAGATAATATGACTAATACTGGAGGGTGTTATAATAGCAATGTAACGTAAGAAAAGGAATAGTTATAAATACAAAGATAGAATAATTATCTAGGCACATGAACTACTCATGACAGTATGTACAACTAATCCTTTTAATCAGTAGAACTACAGAAAACAATAAGAACAACAAAACTGTACAAGATTATTATTGTATATGCTTTACATGCACTATGTAGTTAAGTACAAAAAAACAGTGAATACTACTTTGGTCTATTTACAAAATTTTTTAAAAAGAAAAAAAAAAGTCTGATGGTTAAAGAGGTTAAACAATCCCCAAGTTCTCACAGCAATATGTAAAAATTTAAAAAAAATGTAATCAAAAAGATACATCAGGGCTGGGGTTGAAGCTCAATGGTAGAGTGCCTGCCTTGCATGTGGTGGCACTGGGTTCAATCCTCAGCACCAAATAAAAATAAAATCAAGATAGAAGATTCTGAAATCTAATGTATATATATATAATGTATATATTAATGTATATATACATTAGATTTCAGAATCTTCTATCTTGATTCCTAAGTCTACCAATAATCACCCTGATTGTAATTATGAATATTTTATGTTTGACAAATATGCAGAAAATACCTATTTTAGATTTTTTCTCTAAGATACTATCCATATTTCTCACAGATTATGAATTAGAATGCTTCACGTGGAACCAAACAGCTTAAACAATAAGGAGTACATA